CATCCAACTCTTGATTTCAGCTCAGGTCATGATCTCACGGTCCATGAGTTCGAGCCCTGCATCAAGCTCTGTGCTGACAGTGTGGAGTCTGCTTGGGATTCTCTCTCTCCCTCCCTCTCTCTGCCCCTCCCCTGCTCACTCTCCTCTCTCTCTCTCAAAACAGATAAAAATTTTAAATCTAAAAAACTTACAAATTTAAATTAAAATTTAAAAAACTCTGTAGCCGTCAACATATCAAAATAAAACAAAGTTCTTCGAAACCTTGCCCATTTTGCTAGCACAGCTCACAGCAGGGGCACAGCTGCAGTCTGCAGGATGTTCTTGAATGGTTTACCAAAACTGTCCATTTATAAGCCTGCCGGTGCCCTGCTGTACCTGCTTCAGCTCCCAAAAGAACTCGCCCTTTTCCAATTTCGGGTGGTCTGGTCCGCCCAGTTTGGAGCTGTTGGCTGATCTCTCCAGGCACACGAGGACTTCTGTAAGGTCGACAAATTGATGTATCAGCACTCCCCTAAAACGGGCTTCTCTAAGCCTGATGTCTACACGGGGCTGTGAATAACACACTGACTTCTGCAAACACGCATTTCAGCAAACCACGCACATTCCCAGACATTTTAGTATCTCCCCCGGGGGAGGAAAACCGAGAAAAATGTACTGCAATATCATTTCATGCTTCCCCAAAGTGCCTGAGGACAATGTCACGGTTATAGGGGGTTTTACTCCAGAAGCAACATCTGTCCTCATTTCTTTGTCCACCGAGAAGGCTCCAGTGCACCTGGTGTCACTTTGGACAATACCACTGGTCAGCAGAAGCTCAAAGAGGGCTTTCTGGGGAGGACAGGAAGGTGTTCCCTCTGCCCAACGCCAAGGAGCAGGAGCGGGGCCAGAACGGTGATCACGCACTCTGGTGCATTTCCAGCTGAGCACCGCAACAGCGGACGAGGGCGTGAGTGGTGCTAGGAAATTTCCAGAAGGACGCAGAGCTCACTGCCGCATTTCCAGCACCCCAGACGCACCAACACTGGGGCCCCTTCCCTCCCAGCTCCGCAAAGTCGTCGGGCGAGGTCAAGTCTGCTTTTCTGCCAATGTCACGCAGGCTCCCAGCAGGAAGGTGACAGATGACCCCACGCCAGTTTACCTTGGACAAAATGTAAACGCTGGGCTATCGCGTTCCTGAGAGCCCCGTACAGCGGAAGCAATCTTGTCCGAGCCGGCCACGGGGGCAGGTTTCGGAGAACATTCTCCAACTTCTGTAGATACAGTAATCTGGGGGCAAAAATTAAAAAAAAAAAAAAAA